TCTTACTCCCACTTGGTGTGCCTGTACTGGTCTTACCTTACCTGTGGCTCCTTGCACTGGTCTTACTCCTTACCTGTGGTTCTGTACTGGTCTTTACTCATTACCTGGTGCTCTGTACTGGTCTTACTCATTACCTGTGGTCTCTGTACTGGTCTTACTCCTTACCTGGTGCTCTGTACTGGTCTTATCTCTTACCTGTGGCTCTGTACTGGTCTTTACTCACCTGGTGCTCTGCACTGGTCTTTATCTTACCTGGTGCTCTGTACTGGTCTTACTCCTCACCTGTGGCTCCTGTACTGGCTCCACTCTCTCTTACCTGGTGCCTGTACTGGTCTTACTCCTTACCTGTGGCTCTGCACTGGTCTTAATTAATACCTGTGGCTCTGTACTGGTCTTTCATCATTACCTGGTGCTCTGTACTGGTCTTATCTCCTTACCTGTGCCTCCTGTACTGTCTTACTCCTACCTGGTGCTCTGTACTTGGTCTTACTCCTTACCTGGTGCTCTGTACTGGTCTTACTCCTTACCTGGTGCTCTGTAATTGGTCTTTTACTCATTACCTGTGGCTCCTGTACTGGTCTTTACTCCTTACCTGTGGCTCTGTACTCTGGTCTTATTCTTACCTGGTGCTCTGTACTGGCCTTTACTCCCTACCTGGTGCTCTGTAATGGTTCCTAACTATTACTCTGGTGCTCTTGCATGGTCTTATCTTTTACCTGGTGCTCTGTATTTGTCTTTACTCCTTACCTGTGGCTCTGTACTGGTCTTTACTCCTTACCTGTATTCTGTAATTGGTCTTACTCCTTACCTGGTGCTCTGTATTATCTTACTTATTACCTGTGGCTCTGTACTGGTCTTTACCTGGCTTACCTGTGGCTCTGCAAAATGGTCTTTACTCCTTACCTGGTGTTTGCACTGGTCTTATTCTCACCTGGTGCCCCTTGTACTGTCTTGCACTATCACCTGTATTCTGCACTGTCTTGAACACACCTGCTAAGTGCCTGTGCACGTCTTACCTAATAATTCAAGTGCTCTGTACTGGTCTTATTCCCTTACCTGGTGCCTGTAACGGTCTTGACTCACACTCAGGTCTAGTAATTTGTCCTACCTTTACTACCTGTGGCTCTTGCACTGGTCTTTCTACTCCCCTTTACCTGTGGCTCTGTACTGGTCTTACTCCTTACCTGTGGCTCTGTACTGGTCTTACTCCTTACCTGGTGCTCTGTACTGGTCTTGACGGTTGTGGACAAATTATCCTTAAAGACACAAAGAAATCATGAATAAAATAGTCACCCAAGAAAAAGAAAACGGATTATAGAAATCGCGATGCTGACGGTTGAAGACAAATTATAGTCCTTAACAATACACATTCAATGTCACTTTAGCTGTCAGACTGATAAGGTAACCAATCAAGTAATACAGACTGTTGGCCCCATTGTAGATTAAATCAGTGTCAGCGGGGGTCGGGTTATAGAAAATGGGGTGAGGTCTTGTACAGTTGAGGTGACGCCAAGACTTGTATGTGGGGGGAGGTGGGGGAGAGAGAGGGGTTTCTGTATGGGGGAGGTGAGGGGAGAAGTAGGTAAGGAAAGGGAGGAGAGGGATATGTGTGTGTGTGTGTTTTACGGGGATCAGCCCACCGGCACAAGCCACTGACCAACATCAAGGCTGGGGAGCGAAAATATAATAACAAATAATAATAATAATAATAATAATAATAATAATAATAATAATAATAATAATAATAATAATAATAATAATAATAATAATAATAATAATAATAATAATAATAATAATAATAACCATAAATAAATGCGAAAACGAAAAATAAATCAAGATTGAGAAACGATAAACATTATGGATGTTGGGTTGTCATAGTAAGAGAAACAATTAAGACCCTGCAATTGTGTGTAAATGAGGCAGAAAGTCAGACAGCAACCTTAGAATTGGTCGCAATTTATCGTGGTGCCATATGTCAGCAGGGTCTACCATTAGACAACACATTATGCTTCCAATATCTTCCCAGGCGGTAGTACCTCCCTGTTTGGTACCTGCTTACTACCTACTACCTGGGGAGGGGATACCACTGAGCCGTCTATTAATAAACCTGGTGTAATTTATTCCTTTACACTCTTCTGCCACACGAGGTGTGGAAGGGATCGATCCCAGCATAAATATGTCTTCCTTTTGTTATTTGTTGTTGTTGTAATTTATTTTTTCGCCATTTCTGGAATTCTCTTTAACTTGCAGTGTTGGTGTGTGTGTGTGTGTGTGTGTGTGTGTGTGTGTGTGTGTGTGTGTGTGTGTGTGTGTGTGTGTGTGTGTGTGTGTGTGTGTGTGTGTGTGTGTGTGTGTGTGTGTGTGTGTGTGTGTGTGTGTGTGTGTGTGTGTGTGTGTGTGTGTGTGTGTGTGTGTGTGTGTGTGTGTGTGTGTGTGTGTGTGTGTGTGTGTGTGTGTGTGTGTGTGTGTGTGTGTGTGTGTGTGTGTGTGTGTGTGTGTGTGTGTGTGTGTGTGTGTGTGTGTGTGTGTGTGTGTGTGTGTGTGTGTGTGTGTGTGTGTGTGTGTGTGTGTGTGTGTGTGTGTGTGTGTGTGTGTGTGTGTGTGTGTGTGTGTGTGTGTGTGTGTGTGTGTGTGTGTGTGTGTGTGTGTGTGTGTGTGTGTGTGTGTGTGTGTGTGTGTGTGTGTGTGTGTGTGTGTGTGTGTGTGTGTGTGTGTGTGTGTGTGTGTGTGTGTGTGTGTGTGTGTGTGTGTGTGTGTGTGTGTGTGTGTGTGTGTGTGTGTGTGTGTGTGTGTGTGTGTGTGTGTGTGTAATAATAATAATAATAATTAACGGTTTATTGAAAATTCTGCAGCCCGAAGGCTGAAAATATACATTGGACATAAATGACTTATTACATACATTGGTGGTTTAACAAAAGCCTTCATTAGAGAAAGGTAAAGGAACATACAGTGAACATACAGATTAATATAGGTGTTGAACAGCAAACTCGTAGTGTAGTAACTCCCTCCCAGATGGTGTTAGGAGGAACTCACGTGGTGTAGTAGTTCCCTCAGATGGTGTTATGAGGGACCTGGCGTGGTGTAGTAATTCCCTCGCAGATGGTGTTATGAGGGGCCTCACGTGGTGTAGTAATTCCCTCACAGATGGTGTTGTGAGGGACCTCACGTGGTGTAGTAATTCCCTCACAGATGGTGTTATGAGGGGCCTCACGTGGTGTAGTAATTCCCTCACAGATGGTGTTATGAGGGGCATCACGTGGTTTAGTAATTCCCTCACAGATGGTGTTATGAGGGGCCTGACGTGGTGTAGTAATTCCCTCACAGATGGTGTTATGAGGGACCTCACGTGGTGTAGTAATTACTTCACAGATGGTGTTATGAGGGATGAATCGGCTGCTTGTCCAATTAACCAGTCCGTTCACACATATTTTTATTTGGGTTTTAAGTAACGAAACCCAAACGGTAGTTCCTTTGTTTTATTATAAAAGGTTGTATATATAATTCCTGAGTGTATATCAACCGTAAGTCTCACTGTCTAGGAGTGAATGAGAAAGGGACGGCGTTTATGTATGATAAACGTTTGGTCACGTCCTTTCGATATGAGTTGAGGTGAGCTACTGAAGCTTAGGGGCATCGCAGTGCGTGCTTACAGAAATGCTGAGCTATGGGTCTCGCCCTCTTGGGTAAGTTGCCCGCTCACGTGTCAATCTCATGTCTTACTCATAGACAGTGGAAAGTTACAGGGTGGTGAATCTGAATATAATATCAGATGTATTGACCCATTTATATAATACGTTCTGTTGATGAGACAGGGGCCAATTACAGGGACCTCACGTGGTGTAGTAATTACCTCACAGATGGTGTTATGAGGGGCCTCACGTGGTGTAGTAACTCCCTCACAGATGGTTTTATGAGGGGCATCACGTGGTGTAGTAATTCCCTCACAGATGGTGTTATGAGGGGCCTGACGTGGTGTAGTAACTCCCTCACAGATGGTTTTATGAGGGGCCTCACGTGGTGTAGTAATTCCCTCACAGGTGGTGTTATGAGGGACCTCACGTGGTGTAGTAATTCCCTCACAGATGGTGTGATGAGGGACTTGACGTGATGTAGTAATTCCCTCACATATGGTGTTATTGGGAACATGTGGTGTAGAAATTCCCTCACAGATGGTGTTATATGAGTGAGGTGTGGTCCCAGGCCGTCCGTTCGTAGACGAATTAACACATCGCTGGTTGTTGTTGGGTCTCACGGGCAGTTATCACTGGGTACCTGGGACCTCACTGTGTGAAGGTTAACTTGGGTACGACTGTTACTGTTGAGTTGTTCTCACTGACTTAAGCACTGTTCACCTCTGTTTAACACTGGTTCCGTTCCTTTCCTAAATGAAATTGTAACTTCTGGCGAGAACTTGTTGATATTCCGGTGGGGAGGAGGGTTCAGGAGAGGGGGTTGGTATGGGCCAACTAAACAGTTGACCTGGCTGCTCCGAGAGGAGCGCCAGGTACGTCTTGACCCTTCGGTGGTCAAGGATGTGTGTGTGTGTGTAAACATTACTAAAACCTTCCCCTAACTACAACATTCAACAGGTGAACTAACTAACATCAGTCCTCTTTGACACATAAATGAATAACAACCTAAACTATAAACCTCAAAATGAAGGAATTAAAACAACAATGTGTGTGAATGACATTTATTGACCATACAATATTATCTGTACAGCTTTATGACACACGTACAATGCCGCGGTGACAAGGTAACAAGAAAGGTGTATCCATAACCTAACTTAACCTGAGAGTCAATAAATACAGTAAAACCTCGATTTAACGGAGTATAAGGAGAAGAAAGTTCGTTATATCGAGGGTCTGTTAAATGTGAAACCTCTAATGAAGTATAGTAGAGATAAAATTCAGTGTATTGTGATGCATTTATGGTGTATTATATGTGGTGTATTGTATGTGGTGTATTATGGTGTATTATATGTGGTAAATATTCGACAGCTCACCTATCTTCGGCCACATGAACTGCAAGCCTGATGGGGAATCCTGCCTGAACCAGTAGCAGCAGATGTATAGAGTGAGGACCTCCATGGCTGCAGGAGGACTGAGGACAGTACGTGAGGCTTTGTTCTTGTTCTCTCAGCTCACCTAGTGGTTTTCGCCTGCTGTGTGTGGACCACGGGGAAGCCAGATCAATAATCTTCTTTATACATTAATTGAAATAAAACAAATATAAACGCAAAAATATGCCGTAAAGCTGAAATAACTCCATATATTGTGTTAAGCCTTTACTCTCGCGTTCGCATATTCGTATCTTACTTGAAGTTCTTTTAATACAGTAAACTACAACATTGGAATTAACGTGATATTTATTTTTGTTGTTTTAGGGACTTATTTTTTTGGATCGAACTTAAAAGAAATTGAAATAATAAGTGATTTTTGTGTCCACAGTCATGAAGCATATTGTTTTGGGTCACTACAACAGTCTCTCATATGCCGTCTGGTGCATAAGGGAAAACAACTGAAATCATACAAATAACAACTCAAAATCATATTAAAACTACAATAAATATCTCTCATATATCAGATACCTATTGCAACAGTCCCCGACAGCGAAGAGGATAAAGAATTTTAAATTTGTTGATTTTGCCCTATTAGAGAACTTTGACATGATTGAAAAAAACGGTATCCCGTGTGTGGGTAACTAAAATAATTCTTCGACCATTCGCTATCATTGTCTTGGCTACAATGATGAGTCAAAATTATTATATTGTCGTAATAGATGCCATACTACGGTAAATCTATGACTTACTGAAGTGCCATAATACACCACTATTGAATGAACGTAAGTCGCATTTAAAACAATATAATTCTCACTTCTCATAAGTTTCTGTCACAGCTGAAGTAATAAGCGGAATAGTATTATAACTTAAGCCCCTCCATAGCGTAATACGTACAGCAACACATCAACACCCTCAGGTGACAGCAACACAGCAGGGGTCACGGCAGCCTCAGGTGACCCACAGCATCACGACAAGGACACCCAGTTCCTGCACGCCCCGGAGGAACATGCCCCCCCACCCCCTCAGTCTACATTCCCGGAGACTCGTCTAATAATGTTACTTAATAACAGGTGATGTGGAAACTTACCTAAGAGGCTCACTTTACCTGTCGGAGATTTCACTGAGATCAATAAATGAATAATATCGCCTCACGGTAGCCAGGATGATACATGTAGAGACGGGAGAGAAAAGGTTAAGGTGGTATAATGTTGGTGCTACAAAATATCCTCAAAGTTGGTCTGAGACTGTAGTGTGTTCTCTAATATTCAGCTATAATAGGAAGTTGTTTATAAATTGCCTCAGTTGTCTGGCGTATATTTGGATCTGTCTTTAGTATAATGTTATGATGTATTTTAACTGTTTAACATTTGTCTTACAGGTCAAGGTTCACCACAATCGTTATCCACGTAGTAGTGATTCAGATGTTGTTCTCATACACGGAATCTAACCTAACCTAACCTAACCTAACCTAACCTAACCTAACCTAACCTAACTTTACCCAACAAAACTTGACATAATGTAACGTAACTTACGCTAACTTGACCTACCCTGATCTGATCTAACTTGACCCGACCTAACCTAACCTAATCTAACCTGTGTGACTGTGTATGTTTGTATGTGCGTGTGTCTATGTGTAAAGGAAAACAAACCAGAAGGATGATTATTGAAAACACCCACAGTATTTTTCTGCCCACAATAAGCATGACAGACCCCGAGAAACATAGGAATAACAGCATTAACCCAGAGACACAAAAACCTGATCAACTTTAACCAACGCCTAAATAATAAAAGTTGTCAGACGGGTCAATATTTTTTTCTCCCCGTCGTAATCTAATCGGCCTTTTTCTGTCCACGCTTCATATAGACAGATATTACAGCTCGTGAGGAATTTTACCCCAGTAGGACAGTGACTACAAGACATGTGCTTGTTCTGCCGGTGATAATATCCTAATAAGTTTAGTGTATGGTCTTGTGACGATTAGACACCCCAGTTTATTTCACCTGTTGATTAAAGACCCTAAGGCTAACCTAACCTAGCAATCTCGCCGAAAAGTTAAGGTGTTTATTCATTAGGTAAAATAAACTAGGGTGTCTAATCTTCAAGTGATCCCATTCTTTTTCTTTTTTTTTTACTAAGAGGCAGGTGGTGATAGCTTTAGTAGTCAACGAAACAAGTTATTGTTTTTTTTTTAGCTGTGTTGTGAACTTTGGTGAACAGGATGATGGTAGTTAAGTGCTGCAGTAGTTTTTCCTTGACCAACACCGCTATGAAGGAAAGATCTCTTGTACTGGGTGAGTCGTGAGGTTTTTCTCAGATTGGTTGTCTAGTTAAGGTGCTGGTGGTGGTGGTGGTGGTGGGGGTGTGGTGCGGGTGGTGGTGGTGGCAGTGGGGGTGGTGGTGTGGTATGTTGTGAAGGTGTGGTGGTGGAGTCATTTTAGATTAGGTTAGGTTACGTTAACTAGGGTAGGTTGATTTAGCTTAAGTTACATTACGTATATGAGAGACAGACAGACAGACGGGCGGAAGGAAGAAGCAGAGTGACATAGAGAGAAGAACGGTAGACAGACAGAGACGGAAGGAAGAAAAAGAACAGGAAGGGAAACAGACAGACAGAGACAGAAAGAAGAGATAAACAGAAATAAAGAGAGAGTGAAAAAGAAAGAAAGAGAGAGAAAGGGAGAGAGGGAGAGTTAGCTCCCCCCAAAACAAGAGCAACAAGAACACACTCAGTGACATACAAGGAGATTCGTGACACACTTTGCCTTGGACACTCTCAGGGCAAACAGCCTCACATGTGCTGGTGGGGGTGTGGAGAAGGCAGGTGTGGACTCTAGGTGTGTAGGTGAGTGTAGATGGGTAGGTATGTGATGATGGAGAAGGTAGGTGTGCTTGTGTGTAGGTGCGTGGGTGTGTAAGTGTGTGCTGGTGGAGAAGGTGTGTGTGTGTGTGTGCTGGTGGAGAAGGTGTGTGTGTAAGTGTGTGCTGGTGGAGAAGGTGTGTGTGTAAGTGTGTGCTGGTGGAGAAGGTGTGTGTGTGTGTGTGTGTGTGTAAGTGTGTGCTGGTGGAGAAGGTGTGTGTGTGTGTGCTGGTGGAGAAGGTGTGTGTGTGTGTGCTGGTGGAGAAGGTGTGTGTGTGTGTGCTGGTGGAGAAGGCAGGTGTGTTTGTGTGTGTAAGTAAAAAGGTGTCTGGATGTATAGGTGTGTAGATGTGTAAGTAAACAGGTGTGTAGGTCTGTCCAGGTAGGGGTCACACATGCAACAATTATCACATTAAAATCGAAGGTCATATGTTAAACAATTTTTGGCCATTATGAACTAAAATAATTATAAATACGGCTAAAAAATCACAAGGAAATATAAAAATACTAAAAGATTAAGTCCAGCGCTGTTCACTTTCGTTTGATATTACAATGCAGTAGACTTGCCAACCTTGGTCACTGGCTCACTCATATTTTTTTACAATAACCTTCTAAGTTTATTTGGGGGAATTTGGGGTATTTAGTTATGTTATTATTCTATAAATAACGCCAAATTATAAGTGATTTAATGTACCTATAGTAATTTAAATATTTGTGTGATATCGGGATGAAATTAAAGTGTATTTCATGGCCTTGGTTGGTTTAGTTAAGTTTGCCCTTAAAGTGGAAAAAAAAATTGTATCTCCGTTTTCTGATTAATTTTCACAGGGAAGATGAACATTGGAAGTGTTTACGTTACATCGGAAGGTATTTGATGTTTATTCATAAATACTCTATACTATCACGTACATTACTCTGAGGACTTGACGAGGGACACTTCTGCATAGCTCAGTCATCAGTTTTAGACCACAGCGAGCCAATCACGGACAACCAAAACTGCTTTACTCTCTTTTAATTGGTACGTGATAAAACCCAGCGAGCCAATCACGGACAACCAAAACTGCTTTACTCTCTTTTAATTGGTACGTGATAAAACCCAGCGAGCCAATCACGGACAACCAAAACTGCTTTACTCTCTTTTAATTGGTACGTGATAAAACCCAGCTAGCCAATCACGGACAACCAAAACTGCTTTACTCTCTTTTAATTGGTACGTGATAAAACCCAGCTAGCCAATCACGGACAACCAAAACTGCTTTACTCTCTTTTAATTGGTAAACATGTAAACACGAACGTCTATCAAAAAACAACTCACTAATCCTAATCTTTTCATTAATAACCTCTAATCACCTCCAATGGATTAATTACACATCTCAATACCGAACTGCCTCATTACTTCAACTACCATTACCTCTTGACTATTATTATCGAGCATAAATACTGTATAATATCCCAAGCTCTCAATTGACTCCCGCTGTGGCCTTTTAGATCAGGGAGTCACCAAGTTGCTTCTAAATGTCAAATACCGTCGTTCATAAGCTCTCTCTCTCTCTCTCTCTCTCTCTCTCTCTCTCTCTCTCCTATATCACTTTCAATTTTTAATAGTAATGTGATCAAAATAACTTACCTGTTTTATATATAAGGTGGAGTTTGGGTTTATGATGATGTGATTATAAAGGTGATGATGGTATAGTAATTAGTAGGTGAAGTAAGGTGTAGTTAGTCTTGTTTATCTTGTGATGGATGTGTGTTTATTGTTATGTTATTATTGTTATTGTTTAGATAATAATAATAATAATAATAATAATAATAATAATAATAATAATAATAATAATAATAATAATAACAACAATAACAGTAGAGGCATCTCATTAATCAGTGTTACTAACTCCTCAGTACATCCATGTCATTACTCAGCGTTACCAACACCGTCACTCTTCTCCGCTGACAGTACGTGCCGCCCCAGACAGACAGTGAGACACTCTGTAATGACGCCAAACACTTTCACTCTCGGCTCATGTTGTGTTTATCATGCAAGGCGCAGTTAACACCGATGAAGCTGGTTCTACTAGGTAATGGTGTCACTTTTGGGGGTATGGTGTCAGTTATGGGGGTACGGTGTCAGTTATAGGTGTATGTTGACACTGGTGGGTGTATGGTGTCAGTTATGGGGGTGCGGTGTCAATCATGGGAGCTCTAGTGCCAATCATGGGGTCTCTAGTGTCAATCATGGGGTCTCTAGTGTCAATCATGGGGTCTCTAGTGTCAATCATGGGGTCTCTAGTGTCAATCATGGGGTCTCTAGTGTCAATCATGGGGCTCTGGTGTGTCAATCATGGGGCTCTAGTGTCAATCATGGGGGCTCTGTGTGTCAATCATGGGGGCTCTAGTGTCAATCATGGGAGCTCTGGTGTCAATCATGGGGTCACTAGTGTCAATCATGGGGGGCTCTGGTGTCAATCATGGGGTCTCTAGTGCCAATCATGGGGTCTCTAGTGTCAATCATGGGAGCTCTGGGTGTCAATCATGGGGGCTCTAGTGTCAATCATGGGGTCAATCATGGGGTCTCTAGTGTAATCATGGGGCTCTGGTGTCAATCATGGGGTCTCTAGTAATCCTGGGTCTCTAGTGTCAATCATGGTGAATGGTGTCAATCATGGGGTCTCTAGTGCCAATCATGGGGTCTCTGGTGTCAATCATGGGGGCTCTGGTGTCAATCATGGGAGCTCTGGTGTCAATCATGGGGTCTCTAGTGCCAATCATGGGGTCTCTGGTGTCAATCATGGGGTCTCTAGTGTCAATCGGGAGCTCTAGTGTCAATCAATCATGGGATCACTCTAGTGTCAATCATGGGGTCTCTAGTGCCAATCATGGGAGCTCTGTGTCAATCATGGGGTCTCTAGTGCCAATCATGGGAGCTCTGGTGTCAATCATGGGGGCTCTGGTGTCATCATGGGGGTGCGGTGTCAATCATGGGGTCTCTAGTGTCAATCATGGGGGCTCTAGTGTCAATCATGGGGGCTCTGGTGTCAATCATGGGGGCTCTGGTGTCATATATGGCAGTTCTATTGACACAAACATAGATATATTCCCCTATTAAACACCATTGACCACTAAAAGCACAGCTATTGAGAAGAATAATCCCCAATTCCTGTAAATTTCCCTAATACCGTGATCTCAAAACTTATGATAAAAATGCCCATATGACCCTTACTGAACCTTGGTATAGGGGCGTAAAGCTGGAGGGTATCTGATGGCTTGGGTATGGAAAACTCTATAACAAGATGGATAAATTTCTTTCCGCGTGTTGGTGAGTCACACAGATACATTATACAGGTTATCATACTGGCTGGGGAGAGGGGGGGAGGGAAGGAGGGTGAGAGAGAGGAGAAGGAGGAGGAGAGAAGGAGGAAGGAGGAAGAAGTTCAAATTTCATATATTACATAACATAACAAGACCGAGAGATCGATTATGTGAGAAAAGGGAAAGTAGGTGATGGGAGGACACACACACACACACACACACACACACACACACACACCATAACCTGACTGACTGTGATGTATCTCCGTCCTGTCGCCCTCTCTCCCGTCCTCACTCCCTCCCTTTCTCCCTTCCCTGGTTAACTACGTTACCGATAAGGGCAAATGGTTTCAGTCTCAATAAACAAGAATTTACAGATGCCAATGCTCTAAGGTACGGTTGGCCAGTAGAAGGTTTGCCCTCCTAATGCGTGTGTGGCTCTTCCTATGACGTCGATCACGCCATGGTGTGCAAGAAAGGGGGCTTCATATGCATGAGGCATGACGAGGTAAGGGATCTCACAGCAAATATGTTGAAGGAAATCTGCCGTGATGTCAGGGTAGAACCGACCCTCCTTCCATTGGACGGTGAGAATTTCCAACATGGGACTTCAAACACATCCAACGAAGCCCGTGTTGACGTCAGTGCTCGAGGATTCTGGACGCGGGGACAGCGAGCCTTCTTCGACATCAGGATTTTTTATCCAATTGCCGCATGTCACCGTAACTTAGCTCTCGATGCTGCACACAGGAGGAACGAGAACGACAAGATAAGGGCATATGGGGAGAGAATTCAGAACGTTGATCAAGGCAGCTTCACTCCTCTAGTGTTCACAACCTCTGATGGGATGGGACCAAGTGCAAGATGCTTCTACGCCAGACTCGCGGATGTGATATCCGAGCAGAAGCAGCAGCCCAGAGTTATGTTACAGCCTGGATGAGATGTTGACTGTCCTTCTCTCTCCTTCGGTCGGTTTTGCTCTGCCTGAGGGGAACGAGAGCATCGGCCCCAAAGCCGACAACAATCGCAGATATTGACTGTGAGGCAACAGTCACTGAATGCCGCTAAGATCTGCATCTCAACTAACTCAACACGCTACTTTTGTGTTAGGATATTTAATTTTAAGGCAATCAAATGGCGGTGAAGGTGTGGGTATTGGGGGAGGCTGGAGGCCACGTTATAAAAAAGTAGTAGTAGTAGTAGTAGTAGTAGTAGTAGTAGTAGTAGATCTGCGGCTCAACTAATTTAACACAGATAGGATAGCTACTTATGTATTAGGATATTTAATATTAAGGTAACTAAATGGTGGCGAAGGTGTGGCTATTGGGGGAGGCTGGAGGCCTTTAAAAAAAAAAGTAGTAGTAGTAATAGTAGGATTTTTATTGTTTTTGTTATTAATAGTAGGATTTTTATTGATACAGGTGTGACCAGGTGTGAAGGTCTACCTCATCCACGCTATCACAGGCGTAAACAAGTGCAGATGTGGCCAAGATTTAAGAGGGACACAAGTCTTCAGGTGTGGCCAAGAAAATACAGCAGGTGTGTAGTATCTCAGACCACAACTCCCCTCCTGAGATGTGACCTTGAGGGGGCAAGTGTTGGGTGGTGGTCTGGGCAGCAGTAGCGCCACCCAGCATCAGGGCGGCCAGGTGTGTCAGTGTGCTGGCAGTGCTCACAGTGAGAGGACGAGGCGCTGCTCCGCTACCTGGCGGCCGCAACACCACGCGCGGAGGCTCCACCCTTTGTAGGGGCCAAGTAGAGTGCATCAACCACACGTTATCCACCCGCCCATCCACTCCTCCTCCCCCCTCCCCCGCACCGTGTACCGCCCTACCCATCATGGCGTCATGTGATTCACTGGATTTAACGATTGTTTTATAGACTTTGGACACATTTGGTCTTGCACTGGAAAGAAAGAGGGAAAGGCAACAAGGATGGCTGCGATCCATAATACCTGAGTCTCCCGTCTGTGCCCCGTGTTAATATTAGGTGGTACATACTGTGCATTATTAACTGTGGAAAAGAAAACCTCAAAGTAACTGGTCTGTGTAGTGATAAACTTATAAATTCCTCCACGCGTCTCAGAAGGAGTGCTTCAAGATGTGTATTCTGGACCTCTTCCGTTTACAGATGGAAGTAAAGGTGAAGAAGAAGAAGAATGAAGGCTTTCATCTACGCCGGAACAAGATCCTCTCTGTTAAGAACGCCGGGATCACCAAACTCTCGGCCATTGGTAAACTAACACGCAGGAAAAAATGCAGGAAGTGTAAACCGCGTCCCCAGTTGGCTTGTATGAACCCTTCCTGCGACCTAGAGAGCTCTGAATGGGGCGGCAAGATCTCCCCGTACAGCAGCGTTAAGACACAGTCTACACAGTTCACAGACGTGTGTAAAGAACTCTGCTCCTGTAAGAAAGACAACAAATGCTGCGACGACGACAACAACAGCAACAAACTCGACACTCAAGACAATGTCAAAATCGCCAACTTCATCGACATCGACTCTGAGGAGAACTTAGGCAACACTAACTTGGGCTTCGAAGGAGACAATAAACCCCCTTGTAATGGCTCGATCAACCGGTGTAGCTTCCTCAACAAGTACAGGAAGAGGTTACAGGAGATTCAGGAGGAGGAAGCGAGACTCAACGCCAAGAATAACGCTAATTCCCTCAAGAAAACCAAGAACGTGGAGCGGGTGATCACTGCCAAGGACGCTACACAGATGCCTGACCCAGAAAGGTAAATTTGATCTGCCTTTAGTATTTTATCTTTTTCCTTATTTTCTTCCCTTTGATGTTCCTTGTTTCTTACCATCTAGTGTTCCTTATTTTCTTCCTTTGATGTTCTATATTTTGTTACTTAACGGTACCCATCCACTGTTTTAACCCATAAAAAATCATTACTAAACCCTTTGAGGATGAAGGTTTAACTGTATCATGACTTGAATATTTTAAGGATGATGTTTTAACCTTTTGAGGATGATGGTTTAACAACGCATTGATTTAATCCCTTATGGACTAACCAAACCTAACCTTCTGTACTATAAATAATGGTTTTAACCCCTTAAGAAGGAATGAGACTTTGAACCATCGTCACCAAAGGGTTAAGCAATATTACCGGACAACAAAACAATAACAACAACACAGAAATAATCAATATGAATTATGTTATCATTCTCGTATAATATCATGGCAATATTACACGTAACTATGATCGTCTCTTGGTGTAGATATTCTCGACTTGTGAATTAAAGAGAGATGGAAAAGTCGCCATGCACCTGGTATAAGTAACAATATAATGTACTTCTTATATCTATAATGTTATATACCTTATACTGATTATAGTAAGTATTGGTAATTATAGCCATTTGGACATGTGGTTATAGGATCAGTTTTAATATATACTATAATTCAAACAAGGTATATAACACTGTGGGTATAACAAAGAACACCTGTATTGTTCATGATTCCAGGTGCACAGTGACTTTTAGATCACTATATACGATACAGTATTTGGGTTACAGTGAGAGAGGAGACAGATGACCTCATAGTTAAGAGAATACAGGAGAGAGATTACAGCGTCGGTACAGCACGAAATATTATACCCAACAGCAGATTTCAAAAGATTATACTCCACGTTCTCACAATATTTGTAATCTTTCCTGTAATCTTTTCTGATATATCAACAACCGTGGATTATTATACAGTGAAACCTCTATTTAACGGACTATATGGAGAGGAAAGTCCCTTATATCGAGGGGCTGTTAGATGCGAAACTCTCTCTCTCTCTCTCTCTCTCTCTCTCTCTCTCTCTCTCTCTCTCTCTCTCTCTCTCTCTCTCTCTCTCTCCACATCAAATTCCCATTATCTATCTACGCTTCGCCACCTCACCTCTAAGCTCCACACACACACACACACACACACACACACACACACACACACACACCAGGCTGCAGTTCTGGTGATGTAGCTTCTCTCTTTGTAGGCGTGGGTTGTGGATATGGGCGTATATGGAGTGCAAGTGTGGGCGTGCAGGGCGTGGGCGTATAGAGGGTGTGGGTGTAGAGGACCAGCGGCGTGTAAAGCTTAACCCCAGACATTAGTGTTGTTATGGCTGGATTGTTTGGTAGACAGCTGTAAAGGTATTGTGGTGTTGGTAGTGGGGGAGGTGTGGTGGTACTGATGGTGGAGATATGGTGGAGATATGGTGGTGGTGGTGGTGGTGTTAGTGGTGGGGATGTACGTTTGTAATGGTGGTAGCAGTGTGGTAGAGGTGTGGTAGAGACACGACGCTGGGTGTTAATTGGATAGACTAAAACTGTGGGAAACATTTGGGGGAAAAATTCGATTATATATTTTTTTGTCTGTTGATTGTGAACGATTTTCTCTGATACGTAGAGAGAGAGAGAGAGAGAGAGAGAGAGAGAGAGAGAGAGAGAGAGAGAAGGGGAAGGAAGAATGGAGACAGTGGAAAGAGAGAGAGGGATGAAGTAACGAAGAGGAAGAGAGCGTGGGAAAGGAAAGGGAGGAATAAGAAAGAGGGAAGGAGAAGGGAGAACAGAGTAGAGATAGAAATGGAAAGTTGTTGTTGCAGTAAGAAACCTGTTTGGGTGACACAGTGTAGTCAGAGGCACTTGGGTGGAGAGAGAGAGAGAGAGAGAGGTAAGATTGGCTAAAGAAACAGATAAAGAGAAGTGGGTGAATAAAGTGGTGGGTGGTGGTGGTAGTAGTGGTGATGGTGGTTGTGGTGGTGGTGGTGATAGTGGTGGTGGTAGTGGTGGTGGTGGTGGTGGTAGTAGTGGTGGTGGTGGTAGTGAGTGGTGGTGGTAGTAGTGGTGGGTGAGGTGGTGGTGGTGGTGATGGTAGTGGTGGTGAGTGGTGAGTAGTGGTGGTGGTGGTGGTAGTAGTGGTGATGAAGTAGTAGTGGTGGTGGTGGCAGTAGTAGTGGTGAGGTGAGGTAGTAGTGGTGATAGTGGGTAGTAGTGGTGATAGTAGTGGTGGTGGTGGTAGTGGTGGTGTGGTGGTGGTGGTGGTGGTGATAGTAGTGGTGGGGTGAGGTGGTGGTGAGTGAGGTGGTGATGAGTAGTAGTGGTGGTGAGTAGTAGTGGTGGGGTGGTGGTGGTGAGTGGGTGGTGGGGTGAGGGTGGTAGTAGTGGGGTGATGGTAGTAGTGGTGGGTGGTGGTGGTAGTGGGTGATGAGTAGTAGTGGTGGTGGTGGTGAGTGGTGGTGGTGGTGGTAGTAGTGAGGTGGCGGTGAGTAGTGGTGTTGGTGGTAGTAGTGATGGTGGTAGTAGTGGTGTTGGTGGTAGTAGTGGTGATAGTAGTAGTGGTGGTGGTAGTAGTGAGGTGATGGTAGTAGTGGTGGTGGTAGTAGTGGTGAGGTGAATTGAGGTGGTAGTAGTGGTGGTGGTGGTGAGTAGTGGGGTGATAGTAGTAGTGGTGGTGAGTGGTGGTGGTGTTGGGTGGTGAAGTAGTGGTGATGGTGTGAGTGGTGGTGAAGTAGTGAGGTCGGTGGTGGTGGTAGTGGTGATGGTAGTAGTGGTGGTGGTGGTAGTGGTGGTGGTGGTAGTGAAGTGGTGATGGTGGTAGTAGTGGTGTTGGTGAGGTAGCAGTGAGGTGGTGATGGTGGTAGTAGTGGTGTTGGTGGTAGTTTTAGTAGTGACAAACGCAGCCCAAAACCAGACCTAACCTAACCTTACTATTTGGATTATCTATCTATCTATTCATCCATCTATCTATCTATCTATATCCATCTATCTATCTATCTATATCCATCTATCTATCTATCCATTCATCCATCTATCTATCTATCTATCTATCTATCTATCTATCTATTCATCCATCTATCTATCTCTATCTATATATATTCATCCATCTATCTATCTATCTATTCATCCATCTATCTATCTATCCATTCATCCATCTATCTATCTATCTATCTATCCATTCATCCATCTATCTATCTATCTATCTATTCATCCATCTATCTATCTATCTATCTATTCATCCATCTATCTATCTATCTATCTATTCTTTTTGAGTCATTGGGTGAGAGGAGAGGACCAGCTAACCTGATGCCTGGGGTGGGAGGGGCGGGGTGAGGGGTGGAGGGGCGGGGTGAGGGGTGGAGGGGCGGGGTGAGGGGTGAGGGGGGGTGAGGGGTGGAGGGCGGGGTGAGGGGGGAGGGCGGGGTGAGGGTGGAGGGCGGGGGTAGGGGAAGGGGTGGGGTGAGGGGTGGAGGGGCGGGGTGAGGGGTGGACGGGCGGGGTGAGGGGTGGAGGGTGGGGTGAGGGGTGGAGGGGATGGGGTGAGGGGTAGGGGGGAGGTGGGGTGAGGCGGGGGTGGGAGTGAGGGGTAATGGGCGGAGTGAGGGGTGAAGGGGGGGGGAAGGGGTGGGGTGAGGGGTGGTAGGGTGGAGGGGTGGGGTGAGGGGGGTGGAGGGACGGGGTGAAGGGTGGAGGAGCAGGAGGTGGAGGAGCACGGTGTATCAGAGACTGAGTCAGTGTTTGTTTGTTTGCTCTTATCAGTGTTGCCAATGAAACTCTCTCTACCATACACTGCAAAAGCCATGTGTCAGTGTAGCCAAGTAAAAAATTCAATTCTTAGTTCGTTTGTTTTCATTTACAAAGCCGGACAATAACACGACTGAGACATTGGGTTAAATTCTTGTTAATTACAGGTTAATATGCCAAAGATTAATGGTACTTATACGCTTCAGTCGTACGCTTCAGCCACGATGCGTAAAACCATTATAAAGAAGCATAATTACTCGTGCGTACTGAAGAAAAATTATACCCCCCGTTTTCTGATTGTTTTGATTACGTTTTCTTCTTTATGAGTGACTTTCTAATGGGTAACTTTCTTAATTATGTTTTTGAGAGAAATTTATAGGAAAAGTCGAATATTTCCCTTAGGTCATAATATTTTCGTTATTTGTAAACTTCTGGTTAAAAGTGGTGTATACTGATCCTCTCATAGGGTTGGAAATCCTATATTGTTAACGAGGGGATTACGAACTTATGGGGTTAGGTGTGAGAGGTCAGGTTGTTTTGGTTAGGCTGTAAGGGGTAGCCTAGAGAGGGGTGAAGGCAAGGTAGTTGTAATTACTCTCACCTGTACTCATTACCACGAATTACTCTTAGCCACACCTGTGTTTATGGTGTCATGATGGTGGTTTGATGATGGTGTGGTGGTGGTGTGTTGTTGGTGCTGACGAATAGGTGTGGTGATGGTATTGGTGCTGATGGTGATGCTGACAGTGTTGTAATGGTGATGTTGACAGCGTGGTGATGGTGATGCTGACAGTGTGGTGGTGGTTCTGACGGTGTGTTGGTGAGGCTGCTGACGGTGTGGTGGTAGTGGTGTTAGTGGTGCTGACGGTGCTATTCTTTGCTGCACCAGGAGGTTTTGAAGCACCCAAGGTCGACCCTGTTTCCCGGCTGACTTACCTAACCTACCGCTCCCGGACCTTCGCAACACCACCCTGCCCCGCTACGCCCCGTCCCGCCCCAACCCCCACCCCCTTCCATTCCCTCACCATCTTTACTTACGAGGAAATAATCACCTTACGGCCCTCAAAGCATCCCAGACCCCAGCCCCGTGATGTAATGAACCTCAGATGAGCTTCACTCACTCTTATAAGTCTCGGGATATATAATTATTTGTACATAAAAAGGAGTAGAAATGCATCTTAGCCTTCACGGGTGTGGTCAGTTCTTGAGGCCGGCATGCGGTACTGCTGGGA